TTGGCATAGCTCTGTCCCCTGTTGTTAAGGTAGCTTACCCAGCTGCCTGTCCAGCCACAGGCTTGCTGTTTGCCCACCTAAATCTGGACCTGCTCTGCAGTTTTCTGTTGCTGCTATAGCTCCTGCTTTTCACCTCAAAGCTGCACTCTGCAGCTTCCTTCTTAAATCTGATTCCAGCAGCTCCCTCATGGCCCTGGCTTGCCTGCTGTCTTAGAACTGCAGGCTCTTTCTCACTTCTGAAACCTCTTGAATTCTGCTGAAGGCTCTTTAACCTGGATTCATCTTTTAAGCCATAAATATGCATATAGACATACTGACATATAATTTGCTGTGTGATATTAGAGTCGTTAGTAATTAAGACTGAAGTAAAAGAGCTTGCATTTGCCTTGGCAAAGTTAGGTATTCTAGGAAAAATCACCATCATTGAAACTGCTAAGCCTTACACATTTATTGTTATTCAATAAATTCTGACCTTATGGAAAGTTACATATGCGTTCATCAATGTTTCTGGGCTAGTGTTCCCAGGACAGAGGAACATGCCTATAATCCCATCATCACCCAAGTGGTGGAGGCAGGAAGGTCAGAAAAGTTTGAGGTCATCAGCTGCGTAGCAGGTTTGAAGCCAGATTGGTTTAAGTAAGACCGTGTCTCAAAAGAATCAAAGACAAAACAAAACAAAAATGAATGGGATGGCATTGAACTCATTTCGCAATGTTTCAAGGCAGCAGAAAACACTGAACCCAAGGACACAGAACTCAACTTTTAGTGTACACTGCAGAAAGGACCATAGTTTAAGGGTAGAATTTAGGTTTGAGGAGCATGATCTATTAAGTTTAGCTGAGCCAAGCAAACGTTGATTGTTTTAAGTTGCCCATCCTAGTCTTAACCTAGCCAGCCAGAAAATGTTTACTGAGTGATTGTGTGGAATAAGATAGGTAGGCCTCCACTGGCAAAAAATAAATATGATATGACTTTTTTCTTAAGGCGCTTATAATTAAGAAAGTTGCATGAAGTGTTCATTTAGCAATTGAAACAGCTGAAAAGATCAGCCCAGGTAAATATGTATGTGCTTGAGTCATTTGAAGAATAATATGTGTAATTTTTCTAACAGTTCCATACATTGTAAGGTAACCCAGGAAGCTGCTTTATTTCAACCAGGTTTTTGGATAAATGCATATTTTACACAAAGTTTACTGAATGACAACCATTCAGTTGGAAAAAAACCAATAAAATATTTTGATTGGTATTGATACTTTTAACTTGTTTCTCTTTTATACTATAAAACCCATGCCAAATAATTATTTATTATATTATAAGGCACAGTGCTACAGGTTACAGAGAACATGAGGCTTTAAAACACAATGTGTTCCCAAGGATTATTTTTTTCATCTGGTTGGCTAAACAAAGTTCCTTCGTATTATGATAATGATAAAAATTACAGAATTACAAAGGAGAAAGGAACCAGTTAGGGCTGTTGAGGATGGCACTTGGAGGGAACTGATAGATTGATGGACTTCTGGTGGAGGTGGGTAGGTTTTTCAGATGGGAAAAGTATAAGAATTCAGGGGCAAGTCTGAAAGGTACTTAGACTTAGAGCAGCTTCAGTGTGAAGAAATGGCTAGTGATGTTAGGATAAACGAGTCCTTCTCTTGTAGTCATGGTCATGAATATTCTGGACATGTAGTGCAAATTTTGAATAGTTCCCGTGGAGATTGTACTTTATCCCAGGAGAGTTTCAAGGAAAGATTTTGAGCAAGCAAGTGATGCTACCAAAATACAGGTTTAACGAGGTGGTTCTTGAGGTGAGACAAATTATTTTGGAGAACAAAGTTTCTGAAAGCAAAGGCTTAGGGGTCTTGCTTGTGTCTGGATATAATTTGGTAGAGATTAGGGTAGAATTGAGAATGAAGGACAGGCCAAACCCAGTGCTTGTTGGCCAATGTAGTTTTGCTTTAATGGCACACTTACACATTGCTATAAATGAATAACAGTACAATGAAAAGGCTTATCAATAATCTTCATGGTAGACCAAGAAACATTCATGGAAAAATAGTTATGAGAGCAGCATGAATTCACTGTATGTTTGACTTACACAGTTCATGCAATATTTGAAGCAGGACACCTGATTGGGAATTTAAGTCCCTTGAAAACTTTCTATACTTCTATGAAACTGGTGTATTTTCTTCTGTCTCCCACTGAGGATCATGAAGCTCAGACTTCCTTGGAAGCTTGAAGGCTAAGACTCAGGCTTTCAGCTCCTCCACCACAGCTGTGTTGACTTTAGGCTATAGTCTCTCTTTCCCCTTTGTTCTTAATTCCCCTGCCCCTCCCTACATCTTTGCTGGCGTTTTGTCCTGACCCCTAAACAGATGTCTCTATCTGGCACTCTCAGCCTGTAAGCAGATGTCTTCTTCATCTAGGACTTTCTTCGCCCAAACCCTGAGCTTATAAAAATGTGGTCCTTTGCCAACAAAACCGGGCATCACCTGGCCACTTTGAATTTTTAGGCCCCGCTAGAGAGAAGCAATCTTTGGGGAGAGGCCTGAATGTTGAGCTAAGTCTTCCAGGTAATTCTCTGGCAGATCCTGAAGTTTGATTTAATTTAATAGGTAACTCTCACTCTATTCTGGTCAGTGTGTTCTCCTGCTGATGGAGTCTCTGCTCTATTAGGATTGTTTGCTCTGTTATTCTGATAAAGTCTGCATGTACTGTCTAGAGTATAAGAACTCTTTGTGTCTTCTGTCCTGGGTATCGGGCTTCACACGTGCTCAGCTCAAGGGGAACTAGTGGCTCTATATTGCTAGGCCCTCTTCTTACTTTTTCTGTAACCTCCTTGTCTCAGCTCCTGAGTAGGTAGGATCAGATAGCCATGTCCTTTGGCCTTGCCGTAATATATAGACACACACATTCCCAGAGGAGGCCATCTGCTTGTGGTAGTTAACTACACTGGGAAACATCAGCCCGTGCCTTCTGAGTGCTGGGGTTAGAGGCGCGCACCACACATCTGGCTTACGGGTTACTTTCTTCGGCAGGCTTGAGCCCATAAAGCTGGAGCTTGCTTCTGTCTTGAAGTGAATGTATGACTTCAGCAGAGGAATCGTTGGGATTTTCTTGGCTCACCTAAACTCAGACTCCTCATGGGGAAGAAAAAAAGGTGATGAGTGCTGCTTGTCCCCTGTGCTGCTTGCTGGTACTGGAAATGGTCTAAACATGAGGAAGGTCACCTGCTCTGAGTTCTGAATATGATTCTAGGCAGGACTGAAATGAAAGATTCTAAGCCAACTGGATAAGAACACAATTCCTAAGTGACACAGGTGCTGTCTGATGTATCTATGTTTCATGGAAATGTACTGCTAGATACGTGTTTTAGTGTGTCCAGTACTGTTCTCATCAACCCGTTTAAACTTTAGAAGGTTAGAAATACTTTAGTAGTTTAGTGGTATGGTGGTTTAATGAATTGGAGGACAGCCTGGGAGTTGCTTTGTGAGCAGCATGGGAGGAGTGGGCTTTTGTGGAGATACCTTACTAAATGAAGGCAGGATGGAAGGTTAGGCTGTATTTTGCCACCCCACTTCCATGCACTCCAACAAAATAGCTGTGAGTCCCTAAACTTTATCCTATCGCAATGTAAAATATGTTGGCAATACATGCTCCTGATAACTGGGTCAAAGGTGGTTTTGTTTTTCATTTGTTTCATAACGAACAAACACATATTTATTGGATATTAAAGATGCATTTGGTTCCTACCAGGGGATTTTTTTTTTTTTTTTTGGTCTAGCAGCAGATTCAAGGTTAACATGTCTGAAGCAATACCCAGAGTACAAAATGATAGATTGTCAAGTATTAAATTGCATTACCCTTGATGCACTTTGTTCCCTCTTGGTGATCTCCTTCACCTCTGACGACGTTTTCTAATAAGTGAGTGGGTAGGCCAGTGTTTCTCAGTCTTCAGTGGTCTGTGAATAAACTGCCGCAAATATCTCTTATACTTCATTTGTGTGGGATGAAAGAATTCTCAAAACTATTTTCACACATACCATTCTAAAAGCACCTACTTATTTTAAAAAATGCACAAGGGTTTAAAATGTATGACCCTGAGTGGGAATGTGAAAAAAAAATGTGTAAATTAAATATTGGAAAACTATACAGCCAAATGGGCTTGTATACTTCGGTAATTTGGATGATATTTTAGTGCAGCAAAATTTGCCACCAGCCCCTGGACCTGTTAAGGTATGTTCCTGGGGCCATTGTCTATTTAACATTTATTTGTATCATTTTTAATTATGTGTAGGTGTGGCTATGTGCTTATGAGCAAGAGGCCAGAGGATTTTGGATCCCTTGTAAACTGTAGTTATGGACAGGTATGAGAAGCCTGATGTGGGTGTTGGGAATTGACTCTGGTCCTCTGGAAGAGCAGAGAGTGTTCCAAGGCTGAGCCATCTATCCATCTTTTTTTTTTTTTTTTTTTTTTTAGGCCAGCGGTTCTCAACCTGTGGGTCCTGACCCCTGCGGGCGTCAAAGGACCCTTTCCCAGAAATCACATATCCAATATCCTGCATATCAGACATTTACATTGCAATTTATAACACTGGCAAAATCAATGAAAATAATTGTATGTTTCGGGGTGACTTTAACATGAGAATCTGTCTTTAGGGTCACAGCACTAGGAAGGTTGAGAACCGCCGCCTTAGGCCTTTCTTACTGTGCTGTTTGATGACTCAACACTTACCACATGATTGAAACGACCGTGAAACAGCTTTATATAGATTCTGGGGGCTCTCTAGCTTGTGTATTATATTTTAAAAATATGTCCATATTAACTCTGCTTGTGATATTATCTCATAATTTAGGAGTGGGACGGCCAAAACTGATTGAAATACAAATAATACATATATTCAGTTTTCTTTATTTTTTTTTGTATTCCAATAAAGAGTGTAAGCAAGCAAGTCCTGATGCATGTCAGGGATCATTTTGTGACAGAGACTAACATAGGTGGATAATAGGACGAGGCATCGGCATCTCAGAGAACACGCATTTTCTTTAAAGTAGCCGGCTCACTGGAAGACGCTGAGGTTCCAAAGGGAAGGTTGTATTGTCGGTTGCACGTGAGACTGGGAGATGTTTGTGGGGGAGATGTCAGGAAAACAGTAGAACATTTCCTGCCCGTGGGTGCAGTCCTGAGGATTGGTGATAGCCATGACGAAGCCCACGACCATCACCACTGCGCCAACCGGAAGCATGACACAGGCCATTATCTTATCTGACTGTGTCCATGGTCCTTCGGATAATTTCAGATAACATGCTGAGGGGATGATAAAAATCAAAGGAGCCGCACAGAGCACACCCTGTGTGTTGAAGACAGGACACAAGTTAATGTTAGAGGGACACTTAGTTTGGGTCATCGCTTACATTGTTTTGTTTTTCTGAGGCAGGGTTTCACTATGTATTCAAGGTTGGCATCAAACTGGCAGTAATCCTCCTGTCTGATAGACAAATTGGTAAAAAATAAAAATTATAAAATAGTCCAAAGTTTTAAAAATATTTTTTGTTACACATATTTAAAGTTTGGTAGGTTCGGTTGAGGCAAACAAAGAAAAGAAACAAAATGTCAGGGTAAGACTTAGATGTAGGCTTTTCCTTTCCAATGGAGTAGCTACAAATGGAAAAAAGAAAAACAGAATAATGTACAGCAAGCCTAAGGGCAAATGGCAAGAAAATAAAGCAGATGACAAGGCGGACTTCTGGCAAGCTTGAAACCCACTTTTTCAGTCGCATAATCTTTCCTAATACTATCTAGAAATTCCTGCATATCTACAGTGCCTTTCAAATCTCAGTGGTGTATTTGCCATCTGTGTACAAAGAGAGACATTGGGAAATTGGATGGGCATTTATCTTTTCTCTTCTGTTTGAAAGTAGTTCCCGTCTGTGTAGAAAGAAAAAAATTAACTCCCAGGCTTAGCATGAAATCCCATTTCTAAGTCTTCTTTCAAGTAAAGCTAAATGCACTAATTATACCAGAAAACTGACAGTGGAACTAACTGGCTGTAACTAGCTACCCTCCTACAACCAGTTGCCAATAAATCCAACCTAAGGCGGGCTGTCAGACTGAAAATTAAGGGCAGTAGAGTTGTTTATTGTAAAATTGAGGACATGCACTGACTTCAAAGGGAAAGAGATTTTTCCCTTTCAACAGAACTAATTCTTATGAGAAACTTTGCAAATGTTGTAAATGTTAAAAAAGTGTTTTGGGTAACACATTTTTTTTTCTTCACATCAGGTGTTATGTGTTAACTAAAACATTAAAATTTTCTGACAAATATTCTTCTTACTTCATAAAGTTTTTTTTGGGGGGGGTAAGTAAATCCCATTGTGTATATTGGAGGTTGACAACATGGTTCTATGGGACACATGTGGACAGCATGTTACTATGACGGGACAAATTTAGAATAAAAGTCAATTACTTTTGCACACGTGAAAAGGACAACTGGATACCTACCATTTAACCCAATTCATGAATGCAGTACACAGACACAGCTGTTTGTCTTTATTGTTGCACATTCAGCCTCTAGACTTGTTTAGACCATCTGCTGCTCTGCATGTTTTGCTGCACACCTCTGCTTTTCCTACCTCCCGACCCCAAACCACGTTTCTAGTTTCTGACTCTATTTGCATTTCCCTTTGAAAATTGAATTCCACATAATTAGCAAGATCATGCTTTTTTTTTTTTTTTCAATTCTGCGTCTAGCTTTTTTCACTTAGCATGATGCTCATTCACGCAGTGGCAAAGGAATGGTTTCCTTCTTTTTAGAGGTATTTTCCCTTGTGTACACAAGCTCTGTTTTCTTTTCTCATTCACTGTTGATAGGCATGTGTGTTGTCTCCCTATTTACCTAATGCAGATAGTGCTGCCGTGAATATGACGTGTAGATGTACCTATGAGATGGGCAGTCGGTAAACCATGGAGAGAGAGAGAGAGAGAAAGAGAGAGAGAGAGAGAGAGAGAGAGAGAGACTGCTGGCTCTGTGGCAGTCACATTGCTGAATTTCTTCAAGAACCTCCATAACTTTTCCCATAATAGCTGACAAAATGCCTTCCTACCAAGGGTGTACCTTTGCTAACATCTGTTTCCTCTTGTCTTTTGATAGTACTATCTAAATAAGTGTGGAATGATGTGCCAATAGTGGTTTTAACCTGCAGTCTTCTGAGGACTGTGTTATAGTTGATTATACTTGACATCCTTTTTTATGTTTTCTTGGAGAATGTTCAGCTTACTTGTCTTTTGTATATTTATTCACTTTTTAAGGACAAGTTCTCACTATGTAGCCCTGGCTGGCCTACACTCACTATGTAGATTGGACTGGCCTCTAACTCATAGAGATCTGTTTGCATTTTCTTTCTGAATGAATGCTTGGATTAAAGACGTGCCACCCCACCTGGCATTTATTTATTACTTGTGTATTTCTTTATTTTATTTATGAGACAAGGTCTCATGAGTTGCACAGTACTTTTAAAGGTATCCTTCAGAATCAATCAATGCAAATTGAGTTTGAACTTAGGTGATATAAAATTACATATTATACCTTAAGCATCTTTAAAAGAACAGGTTTCTTAATACTGTGCAATAAAATTATGTTTTTATACTGAATTCTACCTTCATGCTAGAAGTTTTCAATAGTATACTTCTTATATTAGTTTTTACACACACACACACACACACACACACACACACACACACATAGTTACAGATAAATGGCTTTGTGGGATCAGACTATCCAAGGTAGTACCTAAAAACTTGAGGGAGAATGGTATAGATCACACTGTCTAGAAAATATTTCCTTGGTAAAAAGTTCAAGAATGAGAAGATACTAAGACCAATATTGCATTCTAATTTAAAAAAAATATAGGGTGGAAGAGAAGGCTCAGTCATAAGATTCTCACTATGGGAGTTTGAGGACCAGAGTTCTGATCCCCCAAACCCATATAAATACCAGCCGGGGGTAGTGTCCTAGCCTTCGAAGATGGAGACAGGACCCCAGAGCAAGCCAATTAGAGGCTTGCTGTACTGTCAAGCTCTGTGTTCAACTGAAAGATCCAGCCTCAATCAAGAAGGCAGAGGAGCAGTTGGAGATGATTCCCTACATCAACCTTGGTCTTGCACATGAATGCGCATGTACATTCAGACACATATATGCAACATATGTGCAAGCATGAATATATACACATGTCTCTCTCACACACGCATGCACACACAAACACACACACACACAGAAAAATAAAAACAAGGGGACTGAAGAGACGGTTGGTTCAGTTGTTAAGATCATGCACTGCTCTTCCAGAGGATCTGAGTTTGATTCCCATGGCAGGTGGCTCACAACCACCTGTAACTCCATCTTCAGGGAATCTGACACCTTTGGAATTCTTAAACACCCACACTAACGTGCATATATGTGTCCCTCCACCTCCAGATACTTACAAATAATTAAAAACTAACTAAGTAAATCTATGAGAAAAAAAAGATCGATAGCTTGTTTTGCCATATAGCACCTGGATAGACAAGTATTTATGAAGGCACATAGCAAATAAAAAAATTATATTACCAAATGGCTGAAAGTAAATGGACTGTGAACTGTCAATGGTACTTTGAATTAAGCAGTGGAAAATATTATGGAAATGTCAGGAGCTACTGATGAGAATGAGGGCAGGATCTCCCTGGGTGGGCCCCTTGCTGCTGCCCTCCAGGTAGGATAATCAGTGCTCCACTGGAATAGGCCTCAGGTGCCAGGATTCTCAGACAGGTCATCCTTAGTCATTTGCATCAGTCCTATTGGGGTGACTGCAGTGAGGAGGAGCCCCCAGACTTTTGGGAGTGGTGAGGGTGACAGTGTGACCCACTTCTGATAGTCCCTGCCTCTGTCCCTACTTTTACCTCTCGAGTGAGGTATGTGGTTTCCCTGGGTATAAGGGCACAGCTTCTGGGATCACCAAAGACCCTGCAGTACCAGCCTGCCAGCTGCTCCACCCTAGAAGCCAGAAGGGTCCACAGAACAGGTAAACAGGATCCTTGCTCCTTGGAGAGCAAAATCAGGCTGGGCAGTGATAGCTGGTGCTTGAAAGGTAGGACTTTCTCTGAAGTCCCTTTCTCCTTGCTATTGGTCCTTGCCTCCCTTGAAAGCCTTCCCTTCAGCCTCCAGAGTATACCCAATGACCCCCTTCCTTGGGACAACTGCTGATGAAGCTCAACTCCCTGAAGTGCAGGGCCACGCCCACCATCTTCTGCCCTCCTGTGGCAGCCATATTTGGGTTGTTCCTGGTTCTTTGGCTCTGCTGAGGAGTACTTCTGGATGTCCCTGGGTTCCTCGGGCTCCTTTTACCCCTTCCTCTGTCTTCCTCCTCTTCTATCACTGCAAATACTTCAAAGCAGTAATGAAAAAAAAAAAAAAAAGACAGAAAGTTATCTGTCTTTTAAATTTCTTCTTTATATTCAATGGATACTCATGAAATTTCTTTCTACAGCTTGGGAAAAAATAAAAAGTCTCCAGCCTAGGAAGTATGCTGACTTGGGTTCTGGTTTATTCACTTGCTGACTATGCTTCTCTCGCTGGGTTCTCAGTGGCCTACTCTCTTCCTGTCAAGGAAGCAGCACACAGTGCTTTGGGGGAGGTGGGGCTAGTTCCTGTGGCCACAGCACCAGCTTTTTTTTTTTTTTCTTTTCTTCTTCTTTTTTTTTTCTCCTTTTCTTTGTACTACAAGTAGAAACCCATAGGGCCCAATTACTGCAGATACATTCTCTTCCCTAACAGCAACCTCCAGCCAAGATTCTGGAGTCTTGCAACAGAACAGGTCAAGGACTTTTTCTTTGCTTCTAAAACGGATTCTTTAAAATTGAGACCTTCTCAGCTTTAAGAAGATTTCATTGCTGTCCTCTGCTATGAAAACAATGAAACAAAGGGGGATTTCTAAACGGGCTTTGATTTTTGACCAGACAACCCAAATAACTTACCCTATCTTTATTTAGCTTTACCAATAACAGTAATTTTAAATTATGCACAATCTGATTCGAACAAACATCTCATATGCGTGGGTGATTGTCATATCTAAAAAAGCCACAAGAGACAAGGGTTTCTCAAACACTCTGCTGAGTGACCTGATGAGGTTCTGATTGTTTATATCCCCATACACAAATCTTATTATTTAATGTGAAAGCTATGAACAAAAAAAAATGAACATAAAAATCTTGAGTTCCAATTTACTGACAGTCTGGCATTTACTTTAGTCCATTAAAAATAGTTTCATAAGTAGCACGGATTATTCTTAAAACTTATTTAAAGATAAACTTAATCTCTCTTTCTTACTCTGGCCACCCACCATTTTTTTTTCTGTGCTGTGAATAGGACCCAGACACTTGAATAAGTTAGACAAGCCATCTATCACTGAGCTATATCCTCGGATTTTGTGTGCAGGACAAACAAGATATATTCATCTGTATGTCGGTGTGTTCTTGCACATGGAGGCTAGGTGAAGACTTTTGGTCTCCTGATACTTCAATCTCTGCCTTATTCCCTAAAGACAGGGACTCTCATTGCACCTGAAACTTGCAGTTTCAGATTGACTAGCTATTGGGGCTGGAGAGATGGTTCGGTGAGAAAAGCACTTGCTGCTCTTACAGAGGGCTCATGTCCAGTTTTCAGCACACACATGGCAGCTTACATCAGTCCCTAGTTCCAGTTCCAGGAGATTTGGTGCTCATCATCTTGCCTCTATGGGTATCAGGCATGCATCTAGTATACGCACATAAATGCAATGCAGCGAAAGCATTCATACACGGAAAATACATACATTTAAAAAAACAAAATGATCTGGCTGGCAAATTGGTTCAGTGGGTAAAAGCGCTTGCAGCATAAGCTTGTGTTCAGTCCCCAAAACCCATGGTGGCAGGAGATAACCAACTCTCAGCACACTGTTCAATGACCCTAACATATGTATATAGTGGCATACATATGCCTGCTTGTTCTCCTCTCTGTATCTCTCAGTCTCTCTCTCTTCTCTCTCTCTCTCTCTCTCTCTCTCTCTCTCACACACACACACACACACACACACACCATGCATGCCTAGTGAATAAATAACTGGAAAGGTTAAAAAAATAACAACTCAGTAAACTTTCAGAACTCAAATGAGATATATCATAAAGCCAGGAAAATAAAAAAAAACAATAATAAAAACCTGGAGAGAGGTGTTGTGGCTTGAATGAGAAACAGACCCTTGTATTTGAACACTTGGTCCCTAGTTAGTGGTGCTGTTTGGGAAAGTCATAAATCTTTTCAGAGATGCGGCCTTGTTGGGGAAAGTACGTCATTGGAGGCTGGGGGAAGTACGTCATTGGAGGCTGGAGGAAGTATGTCATTGGAGGCCGGCCTCGGGGGTTTTGTTACAGCATGGTCTGGTGCTTTGTAGTCAGAGGTTAACTGTTTGCCCCTCCCCCAAGATCCTTCCTGTTCTTAGAGCAGACTATCACATCCCCAAAATGAAGTTTGTGAACTTTGACCTCCAAATTATCCCTGATTGGTTGAAAAAAGTTGCCTACATACTTGGGCAGGGCAGAACTGAGGTAGGCAGAGCTAAGTTTCAAGGATTTGGAGGACAGGAGGATCAGAGGAAGGGGAGACAGGTGCGAGACAGGAGAGGAGAAGAGGAGGCAGCGCCACCATGGGTTAGCGAGAACAAACAGCACGTGGCTGGGAGGAACCTGCTCTGAAGATCGGTGACGGAGAGAAACAGCCCAGATGAGAAACACGAGCAAGTATTTAATGGGCTACTGGAAATAATATATTTCTTCTATTACAATAGGTGCTCTTATGTCCAGTCCTAAACTGCGGTCCTAAGACATAATCAGTCATGTAATAATTTGAGCTCACTGTTCTCAGCACAGTGCCCAGTGTAGTAGACCATAGAGAAAGTCATTAAATATGTTTGCCTTCAAAGAGTTTACAGTTTGGTAAGTAAAGATAATTCATGTACAGTTCAAATATCGTGTGTTCTAAGATATTTAATGAAAGTTATTTCATGAAATTAAATGGAAACCATCCACAGGAACCAAGACTACTGTAGGATTTGAATTCTGTTTTTTCTGCTCTCCACTCTCTTTGTTTTCGAGGAAAGGTCTTGTTACACTGCTCAAACTGGATTCAAGTTATCCCCTTGCTTCGTCTCTGGAAAACTAACTAGATGGGACTAAAGGACTACATTGACACCCCAAAAGAAGGCTTTTTCCTATCGTAGATGTCATGGAAAATCCCCTAGTGTCCCTACTGTCCACGGCTTGGGGAAGTCACGTTGGCCTTGGGACAGCATAGTGATGTGAATGTGGCAGATAAACCTTCACTTGTGCTGCAGTTCTGATGGCCAGGAGTGCATGGTGAGCTGGAGTCTCTCCTGTAAACTGCCATATCTGTGGCACATGACCGGGGAATGCGAACTAGTCCCACTCGGGTTAGAAATCCTGTAAGGCCTTTGGAGAGGGAAGAATAATGACCCTGTAGCGGTGGCTTTCATTTCATTGCTATCTCATCAAATGGCCCATTATCCTAGCTGCACAAAATAGAAATGGAATCATTCTTGGTGTGCTTCTCTGTCCTGCTATGTCCCCATTGGAATTTGTCACCAACGCGTGTTAATTTGTGTATGTGTGTGTGTGTGTTCTTCATCTACACAGCAGCTAATCTTTCATGTTGGTGATAAAGGTTTAGATTTCTCTAATTTCCTCCCATCACTATATTTCTACTATATATAGAATGTTGCTCAATTACTTTATATGGTCAATAAATGAGTTCGAATTTGTTGTAGTTGGCAGCAGTCTGTAGGGTTTAGACAGACATAGAAAAGTAATCATTGTAGGAAAAGGAATGAATGGAAAAAGAGAGAAGGCAAAGGACAAGAGCAAAAATTTTGATATGGCATGGTCACAGGCTGAAAATAAATCTGGCAGCTAAGGGAGGCTTTGGAGAAGTACATTGGAAATAAGATCCCATAAAGGCAAGGGCTAGGTTACAGGGGAACAGCATTTCTGATTGCTTTGAAAGAAAAGGATCAGTTCAGACATGACACAATAGAGACTTACATCTGAGTGGTGTGAGACATGACAAAAGAAAAGTCTGGGGACAGAAAATAATATTTAAAGGAAAAGAAATGTGGGTCATCCAAAGTGATTATGTGATTGGGATAAAACTTTATTCCTTCTACAACTTTAACAAGTCTGCTAGATATTTCAGTCCCACATACAGTGAAGGGTTTAGTCAGCTTGAAACCTACCTTTATAGAATAGGGACAAAACCTGTAACCATGGAACTTTGACAACTTGAATCAGAAACATTTTTATTGTGAAGGATTTTCTTGCACATTATGAGCTATTATTGGCATCCCTGACTTCTTCTCACTATATACCCATAACATTGTTAGGCACCCAAAGATGTCTCTGTCATTATTAAGGTCTCCCTGCCTGTGTAAGGGAGCAGAATCCCTTCTCCCTTTTGAGAAACACTGCCACAAACTATATATGCTTCCGTGAAAAGCAGAGTATTGTCATTATAAAATAATTATTATTATGTTGCAAACAGGTTTCCATTATTCTTCAGAAGGTAATACTTAAAAAAAAACACTAAAAAATGGGAAAGCATATTTCGCATTAAACAGAAACATTTTAAAATACATTTTCAGAAAGGATGGAGCAAATTTTTCAATGTACTTACATTGAGTTCTAAAACTATTCCAAGGCAATCAATCAGCAATGATGCCAGCGTGGCTACAGTGATGATAACCACTGTTAAGATGATATGGAACACTGATGAAAGATTTGCACCAAAAAACACATTGGCGATTACCTGGTGAATAAGCAAATAAGACTGAGAGGTTCACTTGAGTCTTACCCGGAATGTTGAGAGTCTTTCACAGTAGCACTCTGACACTATAAAACACCACCAGGAAGGCAAGCCATCAAATCTTAGGTCACTAGGAACGTTTCTATCTTTTCAAAGTATTGATACATTCACATGCATAGCTATAATGAGTATTCTTTGCTGTGGTCTTTGTCACTCAGTGTCGTATGCTGTAGACCCAGAGCATGGTACACCAGTGTTATAATACACACATTTTTTAAGGATAAGAAAGAGTTTGAAAAATAAATGCTATAAAAATGAAATCCACAAAGAGGAAAGGCAAATTAAGATGGGTTCATCACTATCTTCCATGAACACACAGGTCAGGAAGCTAATCTATAGCCACCTAGTAGACGTACCCTGTCCTGATAAATTTATAGTAAGATGCCTAAGGGATGATTCCATTCTCAAGAATTAACATCCCAAAAGAAGACCTACAGCTCCTATAAAGAAACAAAATAGGGAAGAGTTTGTGGCCAGATGAAAAAGACCAAACAGAGTTTAGAGGGCTCTTCCATTGTCTAGAATGCTCTACCGTGGGGAGTAGAGAAGGTCCTAAATTAATGTGTAAGAAGCAGATGAAGACCCAAGTGAATGTGTAATGTGGACATGAGCACAGCCATCTCAAGGACTCCAGGGCCTCAGAATAATGTGATTGGCAGACCCTTCCCCAGGGCCCATGGGCAATTGTTGACAGAAAGTATACTCTGCCTCAAGTTCCTCCTCCCAGATGTTGACAGCCTAAGACCTTCCACGACTAGCTAACCCCCTCTCCTTACCCTGTATATAATAAGCACGTGAGTTTCCAGGCTTTCAGAGTAGGTGCCCTCCAACAGAGTAAGCATTCCCCACCTCACCCCAGCCTTTCTCCATGTGTGTCTGTGCTTCTTTATTCCCATTTCACACCGGTCAGGTTTTTAGGAACGTGGCCCCCAGAACACAGCACTGTCCGGAACACAGTACTGTCCCTTGCAGAACTCTACTTCTTGCCATTTCTGAAATGTGAGTGGCCTGTCTGAGCTTGGGGTTGGGATAAAATTTAGAGCAGAAGTACAAGCTGAGGCCGCAATGTACAGAAGAGCAGAGGAAAGAAAAAACGGAGGACAGAAAGAAGAATCTGAACAGAATGGTGACTACGTATAGAATACCAGGGAAACAAGAATTGTCAATGGAGGGGAAGGGCCAGGGGCCAGGTCCTGTGAAGATGACAACTATTGAAAAGTGATCTAGACAGATGTTGTCTGCACAGATCCGCTGCTCCACCACTGCCGGAGACCTAAGGGTGATACTAACAACTTTAGATGATATAAATTTGACCTTTGCCCAAATTTATCTTTTTTAAATACAACACTTCCATACATCTCTAAGATGGCCTTATGAGGATGAAATAGCTACTTAGGAAGCATAGAGAAAGGTTCTATCAGGGCAAACAGTGTTCCCTCTTTATATGTGCCAGGCTATTTTATCTATGAAGAGAAATGATTATGTTGGTTCTGTTTGTGTGTATATGTTTGCAGATAAGCACCAGCAGCTAGCAAGATCTATACAGCATCTGTCTGCATGGTATATGTTACCAGTGTAAAGATCTTAGTTTTGGCCTGCATAGCAGCTAGGATAGAAACTCATTTCCATGTAGGAAAGACAGAAGCTGCAGATGAAGTGTCTCAAGCCATCCACATACCTTTGACCAACAGGCCTCTAAGCCTGCACTATCTGCTCCTGTTGATCCGATCAGAACCTGGGGTACCCGGCAGATGCTGACAATTCTTGCAAAGCTTTGCAAGAATCCTGGAGTTTCAAAACCTGCAGAAAGCAACCCTTAGCTCACTCCTCTCTTCTGTGAGGAAAGAGCATAGACTTGGGTCATGCCGCTCGTGAACCTGAGCATTACTGGAGAGAATGCACAGTACCGAACATGTCCCTCCCTGACCGAGCACTGCTTCTTATTGCCAGAAGTGGTCTACAGGGAGAAACTAGCAACCTTGGGAAGCCTGCGAATCACGTAGGAGATTTAAGGCTCCGTCGGTGGTTTACTTCACACACAACACACATTCACACAGGACATTGTGTAAACAGCTTGTAGGGACAGATCCTGACGAAGCCCTAAAGGGACTCTGAAAGAAGCTCTGTGAGGCACGATGGTAGGGATATCAAGCCAACACCTTAAGAGATTCCTGACAAGCCATGTTACCCTGTTCTACACAAGCGTAGGTTCTCTTCCCTCTACATAACTACCCATATTTGTAACTGCAGAAAATTTATGTAGAACATTTATGTAACTATATGCATCCAAATATATCTGTAGACCTACAGGTTTGACTTGATGTTTGATTGCTCATGGACTATAATATATTACTTTAAAAATATAACCAATTAATCTGGCCTCTGGGAAATAAACACTGACTTATGAAGCAGCAAAGCATAATTTTGGAAATGGTTTCTTTAAACTTTCACCCTTAATTTATTTTTTGACATTCCTTTAAAAGTAAAAGCATTCGCTTTGATTTGGCTGTTCTAAAGGCTGCTATTCCCTTGGGAAAGAAGTGGCATTTTTGTGTTTATGATAATACAGACTTAACTTGGGGCATAATTTACAGGCACAACATTTAAAAAATTATTTTGTAAATATTTGAATAGTTGTTTGAATGAAAATAAGAATGGCAGGACTACATAGGAATCAAAAGCTGCAGGGAGGGAAGCTCAGGGACTAGAGAGCTTTCGGGTAGGGTTTTGGGGTAGAAAGTGCTGTTGGAACTACTAAGATAGCCTGGCAGCCAGTGTCTGCTTTGATATGTTAATAGCCACAGTCATTTGTCCCAGGTTTCTTTGGGACATAACATTAGTCACCTGTAGACTCCGATACTTTATAGCTTAAAGAGAAGTTGTATGAATGTGTCACCTGTCGTCATGTGTTTGGCATTTGGGCATTGAATTATCTGTCTTCCTAAGTAAATGTAGTGATACCAATGCTTACCTCTCTGGTCACAAAGCATTCAATCGGGTATGTCAAAATGACAGTGATGCCATAACAGAACCTTCCAAAGGTCACCAGGTCATCACCTCTGCAGTAATTTTCAAATAAGTCTCCTGGAGAACAAGAGAAAATATATTTATTTGCAAGGTGTTGGGCATAACTAACAAATGAGATGTTCTTTTGCATAAGGGTGATAGTCCATATACTTCATTTCATATACTTAAAAACATAGGTGACCAGGTCTAAATATAATATACTGCCTTTTGTAGCCCTGGGTGTATTCACTGCTGTTAAAACTAGTGCATGTTCCCCTTGAAAGTAAACTCATCACTGGCAGAGTTCTCAATTGTTTTTGATAGGCTTCCCTTAAAGTTGTGCCAATTTTTGGGAAAAAAAAAAATTTGTCCATTGTTTTCTTTCTTTTAATAACAGAATCAACTCCCTAAATTCTTATGCGTTGCCTTTATAAATGGCTTCTGGTCTTTGTTTCTAGCGATTATAGTATTTTTAACAAATGTCTATTAAAATAAACAGATTTCTCTTTGAAATGCTATTTTTAAATGGAGGACAATCCCACAAGGAAGAGTAGGCGGAGGGCACGTTGGGAGCTGGGTTTCCTGCTCTTGAAGTATACAGGTCCTGATCAGAAAGCCAGGACCACAGCAAAGAACTCCAGAGAGAGACTGTCTCAGAACATTTGATGTACCCAAAAGTGAATGCATATTCCTCTGGTTCAAAACTGAAAATAGGGGCGGTTCCAGAAAAGGCCATTAATTTTAATTATTTCCAAAGCAAATAATAAGCCACATATATCTTAGGCTAGTTCTTTCTGAGACTCTGTGTGTTTTCAGAAGTCTGGGCAGAAAGGCAGGGCTCTGACCAGCTCACATAACACATTTTAGCACATACTTGCTGAACCCATGAGCCTCTTTATTTCCTGAACATAACATGGTAGCACGTGGACACTGCAGTTGCCTGTTTTCAATTAAGTGAATTAGAACATTAGATGAAAGTCACATGTATTAAGACTCGGCTTCAGAAGAGCTTGTTTCTTTATTAAAGAGTGAGGAGGTGATCTACTTGCGCTGTCACTTTCCAAGACACAGTAAGTGACCATGTCCTTTTCCTGCACTAAGGACAGTATGTGTGCTACTTTTCTGATGCCCCTTCTGAGCAAAGAAGATGACAGCACGAAGCAGAGAACAGCTTCAACACTGATCGTGTGGTCGGCACCGTGAGAAAAGCAAGGCAGGAGGTTCCTATTGCTGACCTCCACTAATAACCGAGCCCGGCATCTTCTCTGACGTCACAGAGAATAGCAACAGTACTCCAGACTCCCCACTGCCTTACTGGCACAAATTTACCTGATAAACACAGGAGCATGTAGTTTGTGCAAACAAGACCAGATTGACCCAAAGAGAAATGAGCTAAAGAAGCAATGCCAGCCGATTCCAGCTGAAATCTAAGTTTGTTTCAGGGAATTCTAGCTAAGGAAAAGCAAACCAAAACCCAAACCAAGAACAATAACATCAAATACCTGTCGGCTTTGTTATATGAAGATGTGTGTAAGAGACAAAAATCTCTCTCTGTGTGTGTGCGCGCGTGTGTGTAGTGTGTGTATGTTTTTGTGTGTGAATGTATGTAGTGTATGCACATATGTGTGTAGGTATTTGTACATGTGTGTAGGAGGCCAGAGGAGAACATCAGGTACCCTGCTCTATTACACCCCGCCATATTATCTTTGAGATAGAATTTCTCAATGAAGCTAGGCTGGCAGCCAGGAAGCCCAAGTGATCTTTCTGTGTCCTCCTCATGTCCCAGAACAGGCACAGGCACATGTGGCCACACTTAGCTTAAAGAGCCTTTGTCACACTTCTCTTTTAGAGACAGAGGATTTCTATACAGCACAGGCTAATCATCCCCTGCCTTAGCCTCGTGGCAAGGTTTGAAACATTTCTTCTCGACACTTTCAAGGTTGGTTTTAACCACACCATCGCACCATCCTGGTACAGGTAGAAAAAAAAAAAAATATATATATATATATATATATATTATACAAATATATATAGTCTATATACAAATATATATTTGATATACAAATACACATACATATATGTATGTATAAACACACATATATGTATATATGTATGTGTGTGTATATATAGTATAGATTACTGCTTTAGTATCTCATTAATTTTTCCATTTAAAAAACTTTTTTTCTGATATATTATATATATATATATAATATATATATAATCACAGTGACCTATGATATCTATTCAGATCAAGGCATCCCAAGAATACCAAAGTGTCACAGAAAACTAAGTCAAGAGGACCCAGACACTGAGAGAGTTGTTGGAGGCTTTGTGCTGATCAAAACTTGGGAGGCAGACAGAGAACAGGGGAAAATATCTGAACTTGAGCATCAGAAGGCATGCTTTCTGGTTGTTACCAGCCAGCTGGGGCAAGTTACTTCTCTTTCTCTGTAAGCAGGAAGCAGAACTAGTTATTCCACTTACCTTCAAAGGGTTGTGGTAAGGTCAAGTGAGATACTAGGCCAGCAAAAGCTGCGGAATATATGAATCATGCCATTTGGTCTGCTGTCAGCCTACCCGGAGTATTAAACCCTTAATGATTGGATGAAAGGGTCAAAAGCAGTAAAAAGAAGACCATTTAGTTACTGGGCCTGAGAGACAGAATAAAAGAGATGTCACTTTGAACACCAGGAAAGGGTTCACTTTATAGGAAAAAATGATGTTTGTGATTTAGTCCAGAATGAGACAATTAAGCAGAAATATCCTACTACTGGAGATGCAAATGAATGCTTGAGCTAGGAGGACAGTAGGGAAATCACCCAGAGTATTTGTCAACAGAAAAGCAAGACCCAAATCTCTGGGTGGGGTGGAGGATTAGGAAGGCCTGAGGAAGAAATATATATATATATATATATATATATATATATATATATATATATAT